CCCTCCTCTCCCCTCCCCTCCCCCCTGCCCCCCGCCCTCCTTCCCACTCCCCTACTCCCTCGTCCCCTCCCGCCCTCCTTACCCACTCTAGCCCTCCCTCTCCCGCTTCCCTCCCTCCCACTGTCCCTCTCTCCCTCCCTCCCACTCTCCCTCTCTCTCTTCCTCCCTTCCCAGGCTACTATACAGTAAGTGAATGGAGGTGGATTAGCAACATGGCAGTGATGAGTATGATGGAGAAGCCGTGCTTGTATAGCGATAAACATCACTCAATCACAAAGAATAGAAGAAGAAGAAGAAGAGAAAGAAGAAAATAAGAAGAATAAGAAGAATAACTAAAGCAGAGAGAGAGAGGAGAGAGAGAGAGGAGAGAATAGAGAGAGATGCGATAGAAGAGATCTAGAGAGATAGATAAGAGAGAGAAGAGATAGAGGAGAGATAGATAGAGAGGAGAGCTAGAGTACATACCGAGATAGAGAGAGACAGAAGAGCCATACAGACAACGAGACAGACAGACAACAACAGACAGAGAAGAGAGAGAGCGGAGAGATACTTAGAGAAAAGAGAGAGAAAGAGATAGAACTAAAATAAATAAAGAGATAGAGCCAGAGAAAAGAAAATATAGAGTAGAGATAGAGAGCGCGAAGAGAGATCGAGAGAGAGACAGACACGTAGAGAGAGACAGAGAGAAAGACATACCCGAGAAAGACAGACAGATGAGAGATGATAGAGAGAGAGAGATAGAAAGAGAGAGAGAGGAAAGATGAAAGATCGAGAGAGCCAGAGAGAGCCGACCCACTCAGCACCAGGAGGACAAACACCTACCTGGAGTGACAGTCATTCCTCCAGCCCATATGCCACCCCTAGACACCAACTATGACAACATAACCAACAAAAACGGGTCACAACTCCTGCAGCTCTGTCACACACTGGGTATGTATATAGTCAATAGTAGGCTTCGAGGTGACTCCTATGGTAGGTACACCTATAGCTCATCTCTTGGCAGTAGTGCCGTAGACTACTTTATCATTGACCTCAACTCAGAGTCTCTCAGAGCATTCACAGTCAGCCCACTGACACCCCTATCAGATCACAGCAAAATCACAGTCTACTTGAATAGAGCAAATCTCAATCATGAGGCATCAAAGCCAAAGAAACTGAATAATATTAAGAAATGCTATAGATAGAAGGAAAGTATTGTGGAAACCTACCAAAAAACAATTAGGCAACTTCCTGGACAAAATGTTTCACAGTAATAGTGAATGTGTAAACTTGGCAGTAGAAAACCTAAACAGTATATTTGACCTCTCAGCATCCCTATCAAATCTACAAATTTCAAGCAGACAACCTAAGAAAATTAACCACTATGGTGAATCACTAAAACAATACAGAAATACACCACGGAAAAAGAAGGAACAGCACATCAGAAATCAGCTCAATGTAATTGAAGAATCCATAGAATCTAACCACTTCTGGGAAAATTGGAGACAGAGGCAGCTTAAGCCCTACCCTCTTCAACATATTCATACATCAATGAATTGGCAAGGGCACTAGAACAGTCTGCAGTACCCGGCCTCACCCTACTAGAATCTGAAGTCAAATGTCTACTTTTTGCTCATGATCTGGTGCTTCTGTCCCCAACCAAGGAGGGCATACAACAGCACCTAGATCTTCTGCACAGATTCTGTCATACCTGGGCCCTGACAGTAAATTTCAGTAAGACCAAAATAATGGTGTTCCAAAAAAGGTCCAGTTGCCAGGACCACAAATACAAATTCCATCTAGACACCATTGCCCTAGAGTACACAAAAAACGATACATACAGTGGGGAAAAAAAGTATTTAGTCAGCCACCAATTGTGCAAGTTCTCCCACTTAAAAAGATGAGAGAGGCCTGTAATTTTCATCATAGGTACACGTCAACTATGACAGACAAAATGAGAAAAAAAATTCCAGAAAATCACATTGTAGGATTTTTTATGATTTTATTTGCAAATTATGGTGGAAAATAAGTATTTGGTCAATAACAAAAGTTTCTCAATACTTTGTTATATACCCTTTGTTGGCAATGACACAGGTCAAACGTTTTCTGTAAGTCTTCACAAGGTTTTCACACACTGTTGCTGGTATTTTGGCCCATTCCTCCATGCAGATCTCCTCTAGAGCAGTGATGTTTTGGGGCTGTTGCTGGGCAACACGGACTTTCAACTCCCTCCAAAGATTTTCTATGGGGTTGAGATCTGGAGACTGGCTAGGTCACTCCAGGACCTTGAAATACTTCTTACGAAGCCACTCCTTCGTTGCCCGGGTGGGTGTGTTTGGGATCATTGTCATGCTGAAAGACCCAGCACGTTTCATCTTCAATGCCCTTGCTGATGGAAGGAGTTTTTCACTCAAAATCTCACGATACATGGCCCCATTCATTCTTTCCTTTACACGGATCAGTCGTCCTGGTCCCTTTGCAGAAAAACAGCCCCAAAGCATGATGTTTCCACCCCCATGCTTCACAGTAGGTATGGTGTTCTTTGGATGCAACTCAGCATTCTTTGTCCTCCAAACACGACGAGTTGAGTTTTACCAAGAAGTTCTATTTTGGTTTCATCTGACCATATGACATTCTCCCAATCCTCTTCTGGATCATCCAAATGCACTCTAGCAAACTTCAGACGGGCCTGGACATGTATTGGCTTAAGCAGGGGGACACGACTGCACTGCAGGATTTGAGTCCCTGGCGGCATAGTGTGTTACTGATGGTAGGCTTTGTTACTTTGGTCCCAGCTCTCTGCAGGTCATTCACTAGGTCCCCCCATGTGGTTCTGGGATTTTTGCTCACCGTTCTTGTGATCATTTTGACCCCACAGGGTGAGATCTTGCCCCAGATCGAGGGAGATTATCAGTGGTCTTGTATGTCTTCCATTTCCTAATAATTGCTCCCACAGTTGATTTCTTCAAACCAAGCTGCTTACCTATTGCAGATTCAGTCTTCCCAGCCTGGTGCAGGTCTACAATTTTGTTTCTGGTGTCCTTTGACAGCTCTTTGGTCTTGGCCATAGTGAAGTTTGGAGTGTGACTGTTTGAGGTTGTGGACAGGTGTCTTTTATACTGATAACAAGTTCAAACAGGTGCCATTAATACAGGTAACGAGTGTAGGACAGAGGAGCCTCTTAAAGAACAAGTTACAGGTCTGTGAGAGCCAGAAATCTTGCTTGTTTGTAGGTGACCAAATACTTATTTTCCACCACAATTTGCATATTAATTAATTAAAAATCCTACAATGTGATTTTCTGGATTTTTTTTCTCAATTTGTCTGTCATAGTTGACGTGTACCTATGATGAAAATTACAGGCCTCTCTCATCTTTTTAAGTGGGAGAACTTGCACAATTGGTGGCTGACTAAATACTTTTTTTCCCCACTGTACCTCTGTCTAAACATCAGCGCCACAGGTAACTTCCACAAAGCTGTGAACAATCTGAGAGACAAGGCAAGAAGGGCCTTCTATGCCATCAAAAGGAACATAAAATTTGACATACCAATTATAATCTGGCTAAAAATACTTTAATCCGTTATAGAACCCATTGCCCTTTATGGTTGTGAGGTCTGGGGTCCGCTCACCAACCAAGAATTCACAAAATGGGACAAACACCAAATTGAGACTGCATGCAGAATTCTGCAAAAATATCGTCTGTGTACAACGAAAAACTCAAAATAATGAATGCAGAGCAGAATTAGACCGATACCCGCTAATTATCAAAATCCAGAAAAGAGACGTTAAATTCTACAACCACCTAAAAGGAAGCGATTCCCAACCCTTCCATAACAAAGCCATCACCTACAGAGAGATGAACCTTGAGAAGAGTCCCCTAAGTAAGATGGCCCTGGGGCTTTGTTCACAAACACAAACAGACCCCACAGAGCCCTAGGACAGCAACACAATTAGACCCAACCAAATCATGAGAAAACAAAAAGATAATTACTTGACACATTGGAAAGAATCAACAAAAAAACAGCGCAAACTAGAATGCTATTTGGCCCTAAACCAGAGAGTACACAGTGGCAGAATACCTGAACACTGTGACTGACCCAAAATTAAGGAAAGCTTTGACTATGTACAGACTCAGTGAGCATAGCCTTGCTATTGAGAAAGGCCGCCGTAGGCACACCTGGCTCTCAAGAGAAGACAGGCATGTGCACACTGCCCACAAAATGAGGTGGAAACTGAGATGCACTTCCTACCTCCTGCCAAATGTATGACCATATTAGAGACACATATTTCCCTCAGATTACATAGACCCACAAAGAATTTGAAAACAAATCCAATTTTGATCAACACCCATGGTTATTGGATGAAGAACAAATCACAGCAGCAAGATTTGTGACCTGTTGCCACAAGAAAAGGGCAACCAGTGAAGAACAAACGCTATTGTAAATATAACCTATATTTATGTTAAGTTATTTCCCCTTTTGTACTTTAACTAGTTGCACATCACATTAAAACCCTGTATATATACATAATAGGACATTTGAAATGTCCTTTATTTCCCCTTTTTGGAAACTTTTGTGAGTGTAATTTTTTACTGTTAATGTTGGTTTATTCTTAATTTCACTTTTAGTCATATACTAGTTTCACTTGCCTTTGGACAATGGTAAAAATAATGTTTCCGCCATGCCAATAAAGAGCCCCTTAAATTGAATTGAAATTGAATTGAAAGATAAAGGGAAGAAAGAAAGAAAGAAAGAAAGAAAGCCCTCCCCTCACTCCCTCCCTCCCCTCCACCTCCCTCCCTAACTCCCTCCCTCCCTCCCTACGTCCTCCTCTCGGCTGCTCTCTCTCTCTATCTCTCTATCTTCTCTCTCGCATAGCTGAGATAGATACCATGGTATATAGAGACCTAACATAGAGTAGACACGGCGAGATATCCAGAGATAAGCTACCTCGCCGCTCGCGAGAGAGATATAGAGATAGACTAATCGAACTCGAGGCATGATATTACCAGATAACTCACTTGGTTGGTCTCTCTCCCCACCTCCCAGTTACCTACAAAGCAACAGAAATTTTTAGATGAATGTGAAACATTCTACTGTTTACAACTCATGTATGTTTGTACTTGCTACGGCATTGACGCTTGCTAAAGTAGAGGTACTTTAGGCTACAAGACTGCCATGCACCTGTTTATTGGTCGCGGCATTTTTTTGATGCCAACAAGGAGCTAGTTTGGCTGAGTTCCATGCGTTTTGTGTGCTTTTGTGTGTGTGGGCGCGTGTGTGTGTGTAGGAAGACAACACCAGAGTGGGGCTGGCGTTTGTGAGAGCCCCCTCTCCACTTGGGGGACTCCGCTCTTCCCCTCCCTCCCCCACTCCTCCTCCCCTCCCACGTCCCCTCCTCCTCCCCCCCCCGGTTACCCATCCCTCCTCCCCCTCCCCCTCCCCACGTCCCCTGCCTCCTCCCACTCCCCTCCCCCTCCCCACGTCCCTCCTCCTCCCCCCTCCCCACGTCCCCTCCTCCTCCCCCCCACGTCCCCTCTCCTCCCCCTCCCCACGTCCCCGTCCTCCTCCCCCTCCCTCCCCACTTCCCCTCCTCCTCCCCCCTCACGTCCCCTCCTCGCTCCCCTCCCACGGTCCCCTCCTCCTCCCCTCCCCATGTCACTCCTCCTCCCCCTTCTCCCCACTTCACCCCTCCTCCTCCCCCTCCCCATGTCACCGTCCTCCTCCCCCTCCCCACGTCCCCTCCCCTCCCCCTCCCCACGTCCCCTCCTCCTCCAGAAAATCACATTGTATGATTTTTAAGTAATTCATTTGCATTTTATTGCATGACATAAGTATTTGATCACCTACCAACCAGTAAGAATTCCGGCTCTCACAGACCATTAAGAAGCCCTCCTGTTCTCCACTCGTTACCTGTATTAACTGCACCTGTTTGAACTTGTTACCTGTATAAAAGACACCTGTCCACACACTCAATCAAACAGACTCCAACTTTTCCACAATGGCCAAGACCAGATAGCTGTGTAAGGACATCTGGGATAAAATTGTAGACCTGCACAAGGCTGGGATGGGCTACAGGACAATAGGCAAGCAGCTTGGTGAGAAGGCAACAACTGTTGGCGCAATTATTAGAAAATGGAAGAAGTTCAAGATGACGGTCAATCACCCTCGGTCTGGGGCTCCATGCAAGATCTCACCTCGTGGGGCATCAATGATCATGAGGAAGGTGAGGGATCAACCCAGAACTACACGGCAGGACCTGGTCAATGACCTGAAGAGAGCTGGGACCACAGTCTCAAAGAAAACCATTAGTAACACACTACGCCGTCATGGATTAAAATACTGCAGCGCACGCAAGGTCCCCCTGCTCAAGCCAGCGCATGTCCAGGCCCGTCTGAAGTTTGCCAATGACCATCTGGATGATCTAGAGGAGGAATGGGAGAAGGTCATGTGGTCTGATGAGACAAAAATAGAGCTTTTTGGTCTAAACGCCACTCGCCGTGTTTGGAGGAAGAAGAATGATGAGTACAACCCCAAGAACACTATCCCAACCGTGAAGCATGGAGGTGGAAACATAATTCTTTGGGGATGCTTTTCTGCAAAGGGGACAGGACGACTGCACTGTATTGAGGGGAGGATGGATGGGGCCATGTATCGCGAGATCTTGGCCAACAACCTCCTTCTCTCAGTAAGAGCTTTGAAGATGGGTCGTGGCTGGGTCTTCCAGCATGACAACGACCCGAAACACACAGCCAGGGCAACTAAAGAGTGGCTCCGTAAGAAGCATCTCAAGGTCCTGGAGTGGCCTAGCCAGTCTCCAGACCTGAACCCAATAGAACATCTTTGGAGGGAGCTGAAAGTCCGTATTGCCCAGCGACAGCCCCGAAACCTGAAGGATCTGGAGAAGGTCTGTATGGAGGAGTGGGCCAAAATCCCTGCTGCAGTGTGTGCAAACCTGGTCAAGACCTATAGGAAACGTATGATCTCTGTAATTGCAAACAAATGTTTCTGTACCAAATATTAAGTTCTGCTTTTCTGATGTATCAAATACTTATGTCATGCAATAAAATGCAAATTAATTACTTAAAAATCATACAATGTGATTTTCTGGATTTCTGTTTTAGATTCCGTCTCTCACAGTTGAAGTGTACCTATGATAAAAATTACAGACCTCTACATACTTTGTAAGTAGGAAAACCTGCAAAATCGGCAGTGTATCAAATACTTGTTCTCCCCACTGTACACCCTGACACACACATGCAAATACACACGTGCACACGAACACACACACATACACACACACACACACACACTGGAGCAATACAAATATCTCTCACTGAACTGACAGGGCGATATCGAACAGTTGACGCTCATTGGTTAATCGCAAACACCTGTATCAGACAAGCCCAGTGATTGGTGGATAACTCACAGCACTGTGTCCCTGGGACAGGAAGTGGTCGCTCCGGGTCTTCCTGGTACGAGTCCTGGTTAGTTATCTGAAATACATCACACATAATATTTGCCTCAGTCGGTAGAGAATGGAGCTTGCAAAGCCAAGGGTCATGGGTTTGATTCCTGCTGGGGCCACCCATACAAAAAATGTATGCATGCATGACTGTAAGTCACTTTGGATAAAAGCCTCTTCTGAATGGCATATGTAATGGCATATGCAGTAAATATAACACACTGTATTTCATTCAAAGTCATTTTACTGTGTAATAGAGGGTGATCCATTATATGTGTTGGACAACAGCTTACATCCTGGTCTCTCATGGCATTGAGTTGCTCCAGTTTTTTGGCCCAATAGCGTGCCTCTTCCTCAGGGATATCTGAAAACAAGAGCCCAACAAATAAATCAGCTGACCCGCACACACACTGACCCGCACACACACACGTACGTATGTACCCTCGCACACGCACGCACGCACGCACACACACACACACACACACACACACACACACACACACACACACACACACACACACACACACACACACACACACACACACACACACACACACACATACTTGGATAGCTTTCATACAAAACCATTACTACCAATCACAGTGAGAATGACTTTTCACCCAGAACCCCAGACCTTTAAATAACCTATTGGCTTGACTGGTGCTCAGTCAGACAGACAGACAGTATCTAGGGGATGGGAGGCAGTGTAAAATGACACCTAATCAATGCTAGCAGAACGAATCCTGATTACGTTCACACAGGAAGCTAAAAGGAAGGACAGAAGCTGCCAACCTAGTGACACAGATCAGTGTGTTTCTATGGGGACACATGGAATGGAATTAAACAGCGTTGTATTCACTAGCAACAAAACAGAAGCAAATGGGCCGAAACAGGGAGGGACTACCAGGTCTTGTCCAATGAGAAACACTTGTTTTAATTTTCTGTTGCAAAATGTTTTGTTACGTTGTACACTAATGAATATACGAACCTGGTTAACTCAGCTAAAGATTAGAATGTAGGTTCAGGTGTGATTATGTTCACAGTAAGATGCTTCTCTGGCTTGACTGTGTATGTGGAGTGTGGACAGTGACTCATGTACAAATACGATTAGAGACATCTACTGTTTGTCCCTTTTAGAATCTGAGAGTGGAAGACTTACACTCTCGTCTCTAACATGTAGGCTCAACATTTCCTAACAGTCCCAATACAAGTCAAAATGTTGAATAAACTTCATTTGGACTTACTTTACCTGCTGTCCACTGATTTTGTCCTCATGTCGAAGGTAATCTGAGACAGAATATCCACAGGGAAGTATTATTAGCCTGACTTTCAGTATGCTGGTGTGTATATGGTTCTGTTGGTTTGTATTTCCGGTTTGTATTTTCAATACTGAAACAATTTGCACGCGACGTAAACACTTGCACAATATGTAAACAATGGTTGAGCGTAGCCGAACAACAGGCCGAACATTGCTGACGTTTAATTTGCAGTAAAACGCAAGCACTTCCAGCTGATTGCTAGGAAATGTTCTTCGGTTGACAATGTTCAGTTAAGTTGTTTACATATTGTGCATCATATGCAATGCGTCAGGAGACTGAAAATAAAAACCGGAAATATAAGACACAGAGCCATATATATATCTACAAAAAGTCTGGTTAATAATACTTTCCTGTGGACATTTTATCTCCACTTCCTACCGTCAAAGGGATCAACGAGTAAAGTAAGTTTAAATATCATTTTATTCAACACTGGCTTGTAGAGTCTTTTTTAGGGCGACTTCTTTCAGACTAAATATCCATGGGTAACCATGGTAACAGTCTGAAGTATTAGGCACATCTACTGTATTTTATCTATTGTATTTTATCTACTGTATTATACAGTTGAAGTCGGAAGTTTACATACACCTTAGCCAAAAACAATTAAACTCAGTTTTTCACAATTCCTGACATTTAATCCTAGTAAAAATTCACTGTCTTAGGTCAGTTAGGATCACCACTTTATTTTAAGAATGTGAAATGTCAGAATAATAGTAGAGAGAATTATTTATTTCAGCTTTTATTTTTTTCATCACATTCCCAGTGGGTCAGAAGTTAACATACAGTGAAGGAAAAAAGTATTTGATCCCCTGCTGATTTTGTACGTTTGCCCACTGACAAAGACATGATCAGTCTATAATTTTAATGGTAGGTTTATTTGAACAGTGAGAGACAGAATAACAACAACAAAATCCAGAAAAACGCATGTCAAAAATGTTATGAATTGATTTGCATTTTAATGAGGGGAATAAGTATTTGACCCCTCTGCAAAACATGACTTAGTACTTGGTGGCAAAACCCTTGTCGGCAATCACAGAGGTCAAACATTTCTTGTAGTTGGCCACCAGGTTTGCACACATCTCAGGAGGGATTTTGTTCCACTCCTCTTTGCAGATCTTCTCCAAGTCATTAAGGTTTCGAGGCTGACGTTTGGCAACTCGAACCTTCAGCTCCCTCCACAGATTTTTTATGGGATTAAGGTCTGGAGACTGGCTAGGCCACTCCAGGACCTTAATGTGCTTATTCTTGAGCCACTCCTTTGTTGCCTTGGCCGTGTGTTTCGGGTCATTGTCATGCTGGAATACCCATCCACGACCCATTTTCAATGCCCTGGCTGAGGGAAGGAGGTTCTCACCCAAGATTTGACGGTACATGGCCCCGTCCATCGTCCCTTTGATGCGGTGAAGTTGTCCTGTCCCCTTAGCAGAAAAACACCCCCAAAGCATAATGTTTCCACCTCCATGTTTGACGGTGGGGATGGTGTTCTTGGGGTCATAGGCAGCATTCCTCCTCCTCCAAACACGGCGAGTTGAGATGATGCCAAAGAGCTCCATTTTGGTCTCATCTGACCACAACACTTTCACCCAGTTCTCCTCTCAATCATTCAGATGTTCATTGGCAAACTTCAGACGGCCCTGTATATGTGCTTTCTTGAGCAGGGGGACCTTGCAGGCGCTGCAGGATTTCAGTCCTTCACGGCGTAGTGTGTTACCAATTGTTTTCTTGGTGACTATGGTCCCAGCTGCCTTGAGATCATTGACAAGATCCTCCCGTGTAGTTCTAGGCTGATTCCTCACCGTTCTCATGATCATTGCAACTCCACGAGGTGAGATCTTGCATGGAGCCCCAGGCCGAGGGAGATTGACAGTTATTTTGTGTTTCTTCCATTTGCGAATTATCAACTGTTGTCACCTTCTCACCAAGCTGCTTGGCAATGGTCTTGTAGCCCATTCCAGCCTTGTGTAGGTCTACAATCTTGTCCATGACATCCTTGGAGAGCTCTTTGGTCTTGGCCATGGTGGAGAGTTTGGAATCTGATTGATTGATTGCTTCTGTGGACAGGTGTCTTTTATACAGGTAACAAACTGAGATTAGGAGCACTTCCTTTAAGAGTGTGCTCCTAATCTCAGCTCGTTACCTGTATAAAAGACACCTGGGAGCCAGAAATCTTTCTGATTGAGAGGGGGTCAAATACTTATTTTCCTCATTAAAATGCAAATCAATTTATAACATTTTTGACATGCGTTTTTCTGGATTTTGTTGTTGTTATTCTGTCTCTCACTGTTCAAATAAACCTACCATTAAAATTATAGACTGATCATTTCTTTGTCGGTGGGCAAATGTACGAAATCAGCAGGGGATCAAATACTTTTTTCCCTCACTGTATACTCAATTAGTTTCGGGTAGCCTTCCACAAGCTTCCCACAATACATTGGGTGAATTTTGGCCCATTCCTCCTGACAGAGCTGGTGTAACTGAGTCAGGTTTGTAGGCCTCCTTGCTCGCATACGCTTTTTCAGTTCTGCCCACAAATGTTCTATAGGATTGAGGTTAGGGCTTTGTGATGGCCACTCCAATACCTTGACTTTGTTGTCCTTAAGCCATTTTGCCACAACTTTGGAAGTATGCTTGGGGTCATTGTCCATTTGGAAGACCCATTTGCGACCAAGCTTTAACTTCCTGACTGATGTCTTGAGATGTTGCTTCAATATATCCACATAATTTTCCTTCCTCATGATGCCATCTATTTTGTGAAGTGCACCAGTCCCTCCTGCAGCAAAGCAGCCCCAGAGCATGATGCTGCCACCTCCGTGCTTCACGGTTGGGATGGTGTTCTTCGGCTTGCAAGCATCCCTGTCATGCCCTGGCTCTGGGGACTCTTATATGTTGAGACAGGGTGTGGATTTTCTATGTTTTGTTTTCTATGTTTTTGGTTCTAGTTCGTTTTGATCTATGTTGGCCAGGGTGGTTCCCAATCAGAGTCAGCTGTAGCTCGTTGTCTCTGATTGGGGACCATACTTAGGCAGCCTTTTGGCATGTTAGGTTGTGGGATCTTGTTCCGAAAGGTTTGTGTTGTAACCTAGGACTTCACGTATCGTTTCGTTTGTTGTTTTTGATCGTGTGTTAAGTACTGAATAAAGAATGTACGCTTATCACGCTGCGCCTTGGTCCGCTTCATCTGTCAGCGAACGTGACAGAAGATCCCACCACCAGAGGACCAAGCAGCGTGCCCAGGAGGAGAAGTTGGCGATGTCCCAGGTGGGTGAATGGTGGTCTTGGAGGACATATTCGCGGGCAGAGGGCCATGGGCAAAAGTAAATGCCTAGGCAGGAGAGGAGAAACGGCGCCACGCGAGTGGCAACCCCAATAAAACATTTTGGGGGGGGCACACGGCTTGGACGACGGGGCTGCTGGAGGCAGCTACAGGGCGCATCGGCGGACTAGGAGAGGAGGCCACCAGGTTTGGGGGGCTGGAAGGGTGGTTGGCGGAGCCTAGAGGTAGAGCAGAGCCAACTCCCCGTACTCAGGCTAGGCAGTGTGAGACTGGGCAGGTTCCGTGTTATGCGGAGCCACGTACTGTGCCGCGAGTGTTCCGGCACAGTCCTGTACATCCTGTGCTAGCACCACGCACGTGTCGTGCTAAGGTGGGCATGCAGCCAGGACGGAGTGTGCCGGCTCAACGCTCGTGGCCTCCAGTACCCCTCCTCGGTCCCGGATATCCTGCGCCAGTGCCACGTGCTGTAGTGCCAGTACGAGTGCACAGCCCTGTACGTCCTGTGCTGATGCCTCACACAGATTGTGTGGAAATAGGCATTCAGCCAGGACGGGTTGTGTCAGCTCTCCGCTCCAGACCTCCAGTCCGTCTCCACAGTCCAGCCCGGCCTGTTCCTGTCCCTCGCACCAAGCCTGTGGTGCGCGTCGTCAGCCCGGTCCGGCCTGTTCCTGCTCCCCGCACCAAGCCTGTGGTGCGCGTCGCCAGCCCGGTCCGGCCTGTTCCTGTCCCTCGCACCAAGCCTGTGGTGCGCGTCGCCAGCCCGGTCCGGCCTGTTCCTGCTCCCCGCACCAAGCCTGTGGTGCGCGTTGCCAGCCCGGTCCGGCCTGTTCCTGCTCCCCGCACCAAGCCTATGGTGCGCGTCGCCAGCCCGGTCCGGCCTGTTCCTGTCCCTCGCACCAAGCCTGTGGTGCGCGTCGTCAGCCCGGTCCAGCCTGTTCCTGTCCCTCGCACCAAGCCTGTGGTGCGAGTCGCCAGCCCGGTCCGGCCCGTTCCTGCTCCCCGCACCAAGCCAGTGGTGCGCGTCCCCAGCCCGGTCCGGCCTGTTCCTGCTCCCCGCACCAAGCCAGTGGTGCGCGTCGTCAGCCCGGTCCGGCCCGTTCCTGCTCCCCGCACCAAGCCAGTGGTGCGCGTCGTCAGCCCGGTCCGGCACGTTCCTGCTCCCCGCACCAAGCCAGTGGTGCGCGTCGCCAGCCCGGTCCGGCCCGTTCCTGCTCCCCGCACCATGCCAGTGGTGCGCGTCGTCAGTCCGGCACGGTCCGTGCCTGTTCTACCGGTGCCTGGTCCGGCACCGGTCAGCTGCTCCACACCGGAGCCAGAGCAATCCGCTCCATCGGTGTCCAGACCAGACCAGGGGCGCTACGGGGGGGTAGAGAGAGAGTGGTGGTCACGCCCGGAGCCGGACCCGCCTCCGAGGCGGAGGGGGGGTACTGTCACGCCCTGGCTCGGGGGACTCTTAAATGTTGAGCCAGGGTGTGGAGTTTCTGTTACATTTTCTATGTTTTCGTTCTAGATCGTTTAGATCTATGTTGGCCAGGGTGGTTCCCAATCAGAGGCAGCTGTAGCTCGTTGTCTCTGATTGGGGACCATACTTAGGCAGCCTGTTTTCACTAGTTTATTGTGGGATCTTGTTCCGTAAGGTTTTGTGTATAACCTAGGACTTCACGTATCGTTTGGTTTGTTGTTTTGTTTCGTGTGCAGTACGGTAAATAAAATGTACGCTTATCACGCTGCGCCTTGGTCCGAGTCTTCATGTAACGATCGTGACAATCCCCCTTTTTCCTCCAAACATAACGATGGTCATTATGGCCAAACAGTTCTATTTTTGTTTCATCAGACCAGAGGACATTTCTCAAAAAAATACGATCTTTGTCCTCATGTGCAGTTGCAAACCGTAGTCTGGCTTTTTTATGGAAGTTTTGGAGCAGTGGCTTCTTCCTTGCTGAGCTGCCTTTCAGGTTATGTCGATATATGACTCGTTTTACTGTGGATATAGATACTTTTGTACCTGTTTCCTCCAGCATCTTCACAAGGTCCTTTGCTGTTGTTCTGGGATTGATTTGCACTTTTCGCACCAAAGTACGTTAATCTCTAGGAGACAGAACACGTCTCCTTCCTGAGCGGTATGACAGCTGCGTGGTCCCATGGTGTTTATACTTGCATACTATTGCTTGTACAGATGAACGTGGTACCTTCAGGCTTTTGGAAATTGCTCCCAAGGATGAACCAGACTTGTGGAGGTCAACAATTTTTTTTCTGGGGTCTTGGCTGATTTCTTTTGATTTTCCCATGATGTCTAGCAAAGAGGCACTGAGTTTGAAGGTCGGCCTTGAAATACATCCACAGGTACACCTCCAATTGACTCAAATGATGTAAATTAGCCTATCAGAAGCTTCTAAAGCCATGACATTATTTCCTGGAATTTTCCAAGCTGTTTAAAGGCACAGTCAACTTAGTGTATGTAAACTTCTGACCCACTGGAATTGTGATACAGTGAATTATAAGTGAAATAATCTGTCTGTAAACAATTGTTGGAAAAATTACTTGTGTCATGCACAAAGTAGATGTCCTAACCGACTTGCCAAAACGATAGTTTGTTAACAAGAAATTTGTGGAGTGGTTGAAAAACGAGTTTTAATGACTCCAACCTAAGTGTATGTAAACTTCTGACTTCAACTGTATCTACTGTATTTTAAGACGTTTTGGGTCATTGGGGGTATAAATGAGGGTCAATTAAGTATAGTCATTACTTCATTCATTAAGTTGTGTTTGTTCATCCATCCAACCATCCGTTAATAATTGTTTTGTTTGTTAGTTTGTTAGTTATTTCATTGGTTCCCTCCCTCACTCACCCAGAGGCAGTTCAAAGCGTGTGTCCAGCAGCACCTGGTGTAAAGTGGGGTCTTTGGTTCCACAGATATCGTTGTCTGCCATGATAACCTGGGAGTCCAGTGTTAGCCACTTCCCCGGACCCTCCTACACATAGAAATAGAACGCATAAACCTGATACACCATTCATTATCATTGTTAGTTTGTTAGTTAGATCCCCATTGTTATACTGCATACAAAAACATTAGCCTGGTCCCAGATCTGTTTGTGCTGTCTTACCAACTCTTACGGTCCTTGTCACACAACAGACCAGTCTGTCCCTGGATCTTTCAACAGGGATTCATTCAGTGAGTCATTCTGATTTTACATTCCACTCATAGCTTCCATGGCTGATATAATTCATTACCCCAAGGAGTTGCCTTGCCCTGGCTTAGAAAGTAAGTAGTACTATGCCAGTATGAGTATTGTGGGTGTAGTGTACCTCGTTTGATTGGCGGATGCTGTGCAGGGGGATCCACACCGTGCCAACCATGGTGTCCCATATTAACCCTTTATTCCACATCTCCACCGTCAGGCCAAGGTCCAGCCTGTTGATCTCACTAGACAGGGAGAGAGAGAGAGAGAGAGAGAGAGAGAGAGGAGAGAGAGAGAGAGAGAGAGAGAGAGAGAGAGAGAGCGAGAGAGAGAGAGAGAGAGAGATAAGATAGCACAGATACAACAGGGGAAAGACAGCAGGAGAGAGAATTGGGAAAATAAATACACAGAGGAGTTTGTGTCAGGAGGACTGGAATAAACTGAGTGGAAGGAGTGAGGGAGGGGGAGAGTGAGATTGGGGGAGGGGGAGAGAGAGAGAGAGAGAGCTCTGTACTGTGGAGAGAGAGAGAGGGAGAGAGAGAGAGAGAGAGAGAGAGAGCTCAAAGACATTGCTCCTGCATTTTTCAGCATGTTTTTACAAAAAATATAGATTTAAAGTTAGATAAACGTGGATTTTTTGGCAGGGACATATACAGTATGCTACCCTCCACAACATAACCTTCATTCCAAACCAAAAGTCCAAACCTACAACCTGATTTTGGACGGAATTACCTGGAATTACCTGGAAGGCTTTCTACTACCAAGGATTACTATTCCCAAACTATACAGCAAATGCTCTGGCAAACAAACAGAAACCTGAAAACACCATCCAACCTGGAACTGAGTGAGTAATGTTTAGTCTGAAGCTATTTTTTACTTTCAAAAACCAAGAAGAAAAATACATTACAATGATATATTTTACTTTATAAGGACTGAATGCTAAGGCTACCAAGCTTGCTAGTACAAAGAGATACAACTTCAATTAGCACTGACGTGTGAAGTGAGAGGTGTCAAAGCCCTTGAGCCCAACAATGGCAGGAGAGTCGCACAGTCTACCCCAACCAAATGGAGAGGCCTTAGAAGCACCCTCCCGCTGTTCAGAGGTAATTAAAATACAGTACCCTCTGTATGTAAAGAATGATAAGACACGAAAAGAGTACAAAATGAAGCTCCTTGTGGGAAATCAAGAGACACTTTTTGCTGACTTTTATAAAAATGGGAACATTAGCAACCTTATCTTCCACACAGACCATCCCCTGGCATGGCACAGTGCTATATTAGCACACTAACCCTGTTAAGAGGGGGGGGGGGGGTTAGCGACGGGTGGAAACTCAGGATACTAGACAAGTACTAGAGTCAGCTAATATACATCTTTATAAATCTGGAACAGTATTGGTACAGGGCAACCCCAAACAGTTCCAGCTGGACTTTCACCTAATCAAAGAAATAGCTCAGCAGGAGACCCAGACAGCAGTCCAGCACAACAACACCCCCTTAACTAGACCTGGAGAGCTGGAGGTGGAGAGAGACATATCTGCACTCTGGACTGTGGTGAGACAACAAAAACAGGAGAAAGAGCAGGAGAAGAACAGAGCACTAGAGGAGAGGATCAGAGTACTAGAGGAGAAGGTGAGAATGATGACGGGTGACAGAGAACAACCCATTAGAGAGCTGGCCATCCCCGCAGAGAAGCCAGCAGAACGGCCCACCTCAGATCCTGGCCAAAGTCTCGACACCGCAGCAGAACAGTACACCCTAGACCCTGACCATAGCCTCGACATCACAGCCGGACAAACAAATGAAGAACCCCAAGCCCAGGGGATCCCAACCCCTCTGAGCATCCCCCTGTCAGCCATCCTGATAGCCCTCCTGACGACCCCCCCACACCCACTGAGGACATACACAAGCCACAGATTGTACTCCTTATGGACTCAAACGGGAAATACATACAAGAATATACAATTTCCCAAACACACAGTGTCTAAACTCTGGTGTCCAAACACCCAGCATGCCCTAGACCTTCTGTCTGAGGACCAACTAGGATCACCCAGCCACATAATAATACACACAGGCACAAACGACCTGAGAACACAGCAGGAAAGGGTGGCCACAGCACTCAAGGAAGTTATAGAAAAAGCTTCTTCTACCTTCCCCAACGCACAAGTGGTTATCTCAACCCTGCTACCACGAAAATACTTCCACCCTGCTACCATACAGCAGGTAAACGCAAGTATTTCCTGTGACTGTGCCTCAAAACCAAATGTCTACCTGGCCCACCACTCCACCCTGGATTTGAACAGCCTTTACGACCAGGTCCACCTATACAAGGCAGCAGTGCCCACCTTGCCTGGACCCTAAAGTATATCGCCCTCAACCGCAGACCCAACACCTCACACAGGAGCAACAGATCAACAGACACCCCGCCCAGACCAGTGAGACACTCTCCCAGACCTTCACTATGGTGAATCACTAAAACAATACAGAAATACACTATGGAAAAGGAAGGAACAGCATGTTAGAAATCAGCTCAATGTCATTGAAGAATCCATAGACTCTAACCACTTCTAGGAACATTTGAAAACAAACAACAACACGAACAGCTATCTATCCAAAACGGAGATGTATGGGTAAACCACTTCTCCAATCCTTTTGGCCCTATAACAAAGAACAAAAAGCAAAAAAAGATACATGATCAAATGCAAATCTTAGAATCAACTATTAAAGACTACCAGAACCCACTGGAGTCTCCAATTACATTGAAAGAACTACAGGACAAAATACAAACCCTCCAACCCAAAAAGGCCTATGGTGTTGATGGTATCCTCAATGAAATGATAAAATATACAGACCACAAATTCCAATTGGCTATACTTAAACTCTTTAACATCATCCTTAGCTCTGGCATCTTCTCCAATATCTGGAACCAAGGACTGATCACCCCAATCCACAAAAGTGGAGACAAATTTGACCCCAATAACTACCGTGGGGTATGCGTCAACAGCAACCTTGGGAAAATCCTCTGCATTATCATTAACAGCAGACTAGTTCATTTCCTCAGTGAAAACAATGTACTGAGCAAATTCCAAATTGGCTTTTTACCAAATTACTGTCCGACAAACCACGTATTCACCCTGCACACCCTAATTGACAAACAAACAAACCAAAACAAAGGCAAAGTCTTCTCATGCTTTGTTGATTTCAAAAAAGCTTTTGACTGAATTTGGCATGAGGGTCTGCTATTCAAATTGATGGAAAGTGGGGTTGGGGGAAAAACATACGACATTATAAAATCCATGTACATAAACAACAAGTGTGTGGTTGAAATTGGCAAAAAACACACACATTTTTTTCCACAGGGCCGTGGGGTGAGACAGGGATGCAGTTTAAGCCCCACCCTCTTCAACATATACAGTATATCAACGAATTGGCGAGGGCACTAGAACAGTCTGCAGCACCCTACTAGAATCTGAAGTCAAATGTCTACTGTTTGCTCATGATCTGGTGCTTCTGTCACCAACCAAGGAGGGCCTACAGCAGCACCTAGATCTTCTGCACAGATTCTGTCATACCTGGGCCCTGACAGTAAATCTCAGTAAGACAAAAATAATGGAGTTCCAAAAAAAGTCCAGTTGCCAGGACCACAAATACAAATTCCATCTAGACACCGTTGCCCTAGAGCACACAAAAAACTATACATACCTCAGCCTAAACATCAGCGCCACAGGTAACTTCCACAAAGCTGTGAACGATCTGAGAGGCAAAAAGGGCCTTCTATGCCATCAAAAGGAACATAGAATTTGACATACCAATTAGGATCTTGCTAAAAATACTTGAATCAGTTATAGAACCCATAGCCCTTTATGGTTGTGAGGTCTGGGGTCCGATCACCAACCAAGAATTCACAAAATGGGACAAACACCAAATTGAGACTCTGCATGCAGAATTCTGCAAATATATCCTCTGTGTACAACGAAAAACACCAAATAATGAATGCAGATCAGAATTAGGCAGATACCCGCTAATTATCAAAATTCAGAATAGAGCCGTTAAATTCTATAACCACTTAAAAGGAAGCGATTCCCAAACCTTCCATAACAAAGCCATCACCTACAGAGAGATGAACTTGGAGAAGAGTCCCCTAAGTAAGCTGGTCCTGGGGCTCTGTTCACAAACCCAAACAGACCCCACAGAGCCCCAGGACAAAAAAAATTATAATCAGACCCAACCAAATCATGAGAAAACAAAAAGAGAATTACTTGACACATTGGAAAGAATTAACAAAAAAACAGAGCAAACTAGAATGCTATTTGGCCTTAAACAGAGAGTACACAGTGGCAGAATACCTGATCACTGTGACTGACCCAAACTTACTGAAACCTTTGACTATGTACAGACTCAGTGAGCATAGCCTTGCTATTGAGAAAGGCCGCTGTAGGCAGACCTGGCTCTCAAGAGAAGACAAGCTATGTGCACACTGCCCACAAAATGAGGTGGAAACTGAGCTGCACTTCCTAATCTCCTGCCAAATGTATGACCATATTAGAGGCACATATTTCCCTTAGATTACAGAGATCCACAAAGAATTCGAAAATTAACCCAATTTTGATCAACTCCCATGGCTACTGGGTGAAATACCACAGTGTGCCATCACAGCAGCAAGATTTGTGACCTGTTGCCACAAGAAAAGGGTAACCAGTAAAGAACAAACACCATTGTAAATACAATCCAATACATTAACTATTTGCACATTGTTACAACCCTGTATATATATACATAATATGACATTTGACATTTCTTTATTCTTTTGGAACTTCTGAGTGTAATGTTTACTGTTAATATTTATTGTTTATTTCACTTTTGTTTACTATCTACTTCACTTGCTTTGGCAATGTTAACATACCATGCCAATAAAGCCCTTAAATTGAAATTGAAATTGAAATTGAATTGAGAGAGGGGGCGGGGGAGAGAGATTGGGGGAGGGGGAGAGAGAGGGGGCGGGGGAGAGAGATTGGGTGAGGGGGAGAGAGAGGTGAGAGGTGAGAGGGGAAGAGAGAGGGGGGACACCCACAAGCCTCACAAGACTAGTCTGAAGGTAGCCGGGTACCAGTTTAAAAAATGAATGGAAGTATATATGGAGATAGTTTAGTGCCTAAAATAAGGAGTTAAATACATGTAAAAGATATAGGACAGACACTTCAGAACAAACTTCCTTTTGATTTTTTGGCGGAACTATCTGTTTATCCATGTGTGAAGCTGTTATTCAATGCATTTCTATGGGTTAATAGCAGTAAGGCCAAATTCAATGTTTAATCAACTATATATATTTTTTGAGGGGATACCTTAATGGGTCCTAAAATTCAATATCAAATAGCTAAATAATCCTTGGTATGACCACCTTAAAACAATTCCATATGTTAGCTTAGTTGACCCACTGTTTATTTTCTGCATCTATGTCATATCGCTGAGTCTACCTTTATTTTTAAAAGACGGAGGCAAGATTTCCCGTCTGAGTACAGCCTCCTGTAGCTCAGTTGGTAGAGCATTGCGCTTGCAACGCCAGGGTTGTGGGTTTGATTCCCATGGGGGGCCAGTATGAAAAATGTATGTACTCACTAACTGTAAGTCGCTCTGGATAAGAGCGTCTGCTAAAATGTAGTGACTCTTTTTAAGAAAAGTGCCATTTTGATCAGTGCCCATAACTGTGGGAGGGGCCTGGAAGCCATTACAGAGGGATTTAGTCTTAGGGAGGAGACTGGAAGCCATTACAGAGGGATTGAGTCTTAGGGAGGAGACTGGAAGCCATTACAGAGGGATCTGAGTCATACCTTCTGTTGTGCAACACTGTTACAATGCCCAAAGCCTCGCGCCATCACACCAGCAGCCCACAGGACACTACTCTGCAGTCAGTCAGCCTGCCTCCTGCTGCATGTTACATGTTTCATAAACCACTAGTAAGCATAATACTCACCAGTCAAACTAGTACACTCTCCCTGGCTACCACACTACTCACCAGTCAAACTAGTACACACTCGCTAGCACATTACACACCAGTCAATCTAGTACACATTCGCTAGCACACTACACACCAGTCAAACTAGTGCACACTCGCTAGGACACTACACACCATCCACATTCACTGACTAGCAACACTGACTGTTACTAAGTGTCCAATTCAAGTCTGAAAATGAAAATGTCAGCTAGGAGATGGTTATGTAATGAAAGAGGAGGGAGAGAAAGAGGAGGGAAGATAAGGGAACAGTAGGAGAAGAAAAAGGAGGAGGAAGGAGGGAGGAAGTAAGAGATCAAGGAGCAACGGGGAGGAAGAGGTAAGGAGGAGAGATAGTGAGCTAGGGAGGAAGGAGGATAAGAGAGATAGGAGAGAGAGAGAAAGGAAAAGAGAGAGAAAGAGAGATAGCGCAGAGAATCCGAGAGCGAGCGAGAGCAGCGCAGACGAATCGCGCGCTAGACTCTAGTAGTCTTAGTAGCTCTGATCGGTAGGAAGAGTGGCGCAGAGCTGAGAGAGCGAGATGAGGAGAGAGATGAGCGAGAGAGAGAGATAGAGCTGGGATGAGGAGAGATCGCCGCTGTAGGAAGGATAAGGAGGAGTAGTAGATAGGAGCTTGGGAAGATCAGGATAAGGATAGAGGAGCGAGATGGAGATATAGGAGAGCTAGCTTATAAGAGATAAATGAGGATGACGAGAGCTTGAGAGATAAGAGGATAAGGAGGAGAGGAGAGAAGAGAGAGAGAGGACCTGGGAAGAAGCCCATGTGGAGAGGGAGGAGGAGTGAGTGATAGCGCTACCGAGGGTGAAGAGATGAAAGAATGGATGAGGGAGCAGGAGGGAAAAGGAGGTAGAGATAAAGAGATGGAGAGACATGAAACAATAAAGAAGACAAAGAAAGATGGAGGTCGATGTAAGAGAGGAAATCAGAGAGGTGAAGGAGTGACAAAAAAGGACATAGAGATGGAGAGAATGGTGAAGAGAGGGAGATGGAGTGATAGAAAGAGAGAGGACTCACAACATGAAGTCCTGCTCCCAGCTGGGCAGGCTTCCCCGGACAGCGATGGTGGTGCTCTTCACATTTTGCACCTTCAGGGTCACATACGTGTTGAACTTCTCTGTGAGTGAGAGAGAGAAAGACTGAATTACTCTGTAAGGGGTAGAGTGAGAAACAACTGAATTACTCTGTAAGGGGTAGAGTGAGAAACAACTGAATTACTCTGTAAGGGGTAGAGTGAGAAAGAACAGAATTTATCTGTGAGGCAGAAAAATAAGTAACTGAATTTCTCTGTGAGGGGTAGAGAGTGAAAGAACTGAATTTCTCTGTGAGGGGTAGAGAAAGAAACAACTGAATTACTCTGTGAGGGGTAGAGAGAAACAACTGAATTACTCTGTGAGGGGTAGAGAGAAACAACTGAATTACTCTGTGAGGGGTAGAGTGAGAAAGAACAGAATTTATCTGTGAGGGAGAAAAATAACTAACTGAATTTGTCTGTGAGGGGTAGAGAAATAGAGGAAAATAATGCTCCATATAAGAACTATAGTCAGAGAAGTTGGCTGAAACACACAGATCTAGGACCAGGCCAGTTTTTCCTCAGCACATGACCTGACCAGCCTCACATGATCAGGTAAACTCCCGTCCCTATAAAACATAGCTAGCAAGTTTGCCCCAACCCAGTCCTGTACTTCTGTTTTGTCTATTCTATTTCCAGGTTCCCAGAAGCACTTACCTTGGGCTCCATCCAGCTTGGCTTTCTTCACTGTAAAAACATTGAGAGGAACACAGTCACACAGGGCAACACCATCTGTCCACATAACTCTTACACACAGAACATACAATGATGGAGCTGTTAGCCCCCAAAATGGGTCCCAGTTTCCTGTTTTGTGGTTGTCACTAGTTACCACAACCACAAAGTAAAAATTGGCTATAAAAATTAATTTAAGGTTAGGGTTAGGCATAAGGATAGCAGTGTGGTTAGGGCTAGGTTTAAAATCCCATTTTGAGTAGATACATTGTAGAAATAGGAACAGTTTATGACTTTGTGGCTGTGGTAACAACCCTTTTGTGGGCAGTTCTCATGTTGGATCGTTTCTCTGGATCTCTGGAAAGTGCCCTTTTGGGTGGTGGTATAATCTTTTTGCATATACATTTTTTGTTGTTGTTGTTCTGAACCCACTGCCCGCTGCCCCCTGGGGGCCAACGGTAGTCTCGCTAGCTTGCCACCATATAGCCACACAAGCCACTCGCCAGCCAGCCATATATCATGAAAATGAGATAGTGCCATGTGTATGATGATAAATTATTTGCCTACACAATAAATATTGTAATTATGTTAACCTGTTAGATGTCAAACCCCATATTGGGGACTTTGAGTGGTTCTCGACCGGTTCCGACTGACATTTTGATGTACAAAGCACTCTGTGAACGTCGTAAGGTCCAGTGTCCTATAGTGTCAGAAAGCCCTATCTCTCTGCTCTCTGCTCCCACTTTCTAAGCGGAGCTGACTTGAAGTGTCAGGTTTCAGACACAACATTTGTATTGGACATGTCATATTTTCTGGCCTATCCAGACAAAGGAACAATTTCCTGTACCTGTGAAACTCACAGCTGCGCTTACAATAGCACATATGAAACGGGAGAATCTAGCGGATGCCACAACAGTCGCAGACCGATTTAGAGCTCTCAACATGAAAAAATACTAAATAATTTCATAGAATTGAACTAAGACCACTTTCTCTTGGTCACAGATGGATGTAATCACTTTGTGCTTAAAGCTGAAGTTGAAACGAGTCTGCACACATCTGAATGGTGTCTCTGCTCCGCTGAGTGGACGTTTAGGAGAACATTGTCGTCAGATACATTTACATTTTAGTCATTTAGCAGACGCTCTTATCCAGAGCGACTTACAGTTAATGAGTGCATACATTTTTCATACTGGCCCCACGTGGGAAACGAACCCACAACCCTGGCGTTGCAAGCGCCATGCTCTACAAACCGAGCTACACGGGACCATAACTACAGAGTTATTATGAAATATGAAATTACTATTAAATGACATGATTATACAATCATATTATATATGATGTAGAGCAAAACTTAGAATACCATCGTGTTCGTGAGAGTCTCATCTTTCCATAGAGGGGTCATTAAAGTTGTTATTACTGATTAATGTACTGCATTGCTGAGGGAGCTAACACACAAGCATTTCGCTGCACCTTTTATACCTGCTGTAAACTGTGTATGTGACAAATACATTTGATTTGATTTTATGCTCCTCAATACTTCTTCTACTAGATCAAAGTTTCAGCCAGGTAGGATACATAGTGGCAACAAATGGATTTGGGTTGGATATAGTAATGGTACCATTTCTTATAACAATCATACACATAGACAGAAGCAACAACACACACAGCAAGCCCCTTATTATATAGCAGAGGCTGTAGCGTACTCACGTAGGCAGTGTCCTAAAAGGCACCCTATTTCCCTGAGCCCAATGGGCCCTGGTCAAAAGTAGTGCACTATATAGTGAATAGTGTGCCATTTGGAACTCCGCCATAGGAGGAGGCAACACTAGTATGACTGGCCCGTGGTGTGTTATCAGAGTGGTGTTGCAGTAGAGACAGAAGGTGGGTGGTGGACGTGCTGATTCTCTGAGCAAGGTACAGAGACTTAGCTTGTCTTATTGGAGAAGAGGGAAATACATGTTGTTACCTTGCAGTCAACGCCAATCGTTTACACTGTGCCAACCAGTTTCAGTCACAAGCCTCTTGAAGGACAATAGAAGTGCAATAAAAAAAAAATATTAGGGCATATTCGGCATCCCTCTCCAGGATTGTTTCGATTAAGGCTATAATGCCAAATCTGTGTGTGTGTTTTTTTTTGTTATCCTATCCTGAGTGTGTGGGTTGAATATATTTTGTGGCTCTGTCTCTATAAAGCCCACTCTATCCCTCTGCAGTACTGTTTAAACAGCTCTGACGTAACTCATACCTGCATAGTTAATGCCCTACACTTTCACTACCCACACACAACAATGTAGTCTCTGGGAAATGTGTATTATTCTGTACATTATATTATGAATGGAATAGCAATTGTACAATATCATACCAATTAAAAGATGTATAGTATCATACATCTTACCCGGTCGTACAATAGCATACGAATTGGATGACTAACTTATCATACGTCTTGGAGGATGTTTAGTATTATACGTCTTTCTCTGAGACCAGGTTGCTTGTTGCGCTGTAACAGCAAAGGAGAATTACTGGGAGAATTTACGTTGGTGGTTAGCATAACTAACGACAAAGGATCATTTACGTAAAAGGTTAGGTGAAGTGGGTTAAGTTTAGAATAAAGGTTAGGGGAAGGGTTTGCTAAAATGCTACAGCTGTCCCCTGCGTGACTCGAACATGCAACCTTTGGATTTGTAGACAGTCACGGATTATGCCGACCCCATCCTCCCCGACCAACCCGACTACTTTCGTTTCTGTCTAAAGTAACTAGACCATTAGTAGGTATCATACGCCTTGGAGGTGCTCAGAAATGCATAAAGTATGTTTCGTATGGCTCTGAGGCCACACACACACAGACACACACACACACGGTCACATTACATCCATAGCGAGTTTTAATATTCAACAACCCCCACCTGCACATCCCATAATACTCTCTACAGGCCGGCCTGCCTGGGCCCAAGTCTCCATGACAACGGACGAAAGGGGAAAAGACGACACGTGTGAAATTCCCTGACTAAGAGAGGAGGCATTCTACACACACACACAGACACACACACACACACACACACACACACACACACACACACACACACACACACACACACACACACACACACACACACACACACACACACACACACACACACACACACACACACACACACACACACTAAACTACTGAACTAGTAATGAGAGAGTCTTACTGGAATACCAATGAAGTTACTGTATTATGTAAAGGAGGCTGAAGCACGTGTACCTACCTGCCTGTAGTTACACGTCCTATGTTGTGTCGGTGAAGAACTGAAGCTATTCTTTATCTTCTTCATGACTATGCTTTCAACCATCTACACTGAACAAAAATATGAACTCAACATGTAAAGTGTTGGTCCCATGTTTCATGAGCTGAAATAGAAGATTCCAGAAATGTTCCATACGCACAAAAAGCTAATTTCTCTCAAATGTTGTGCACACATTTTTCCCCCTCCCTGTTAGTGAGCATTTTATCCTTTGCCAAGATAATCCATCATCCTGACAGGTGTGGCATATCAAGAAACTGATTAAACAGCATGATAATTACACAGGTGGACCTTGTACTTGGGATGATAAAAGGCCACTCTAAAATGTGCAGTTTTGTCACACAACACACAATGCAACAGATGTCTCAAGTTTTGAGGGAGCATGCAATTGGCATGCTGACTGCAGGAATGTCCACCAGAGCTGTTGCCAGAGAATCTAATGTTAATTTCTCTACCGTAAACTGCCTCCAACATCGTTTTAGAGAATTTGGCAGTACGTCCAACTGGCCTCACAACCGCAGACCACGTGTATGGTGTCGTGTGCGCGAGCGGTTTGCTGATGTCAACGTTGTGAACAGAGTGCCCCATGGTGGCGGTGGGGTTATGGTATGGGCAGGCATAAGCTATGGACAACAAACACAATTGCATTTTATCGATGGCAATTTGAATGCACAGAGAAACAGTGACGAGATCCTGAGGCCATTCATCCGTAGCCATCACCTCATGTTTCAGCAAGATAACGCATGGCCCCATGTCGCAAAGATCTGTACACAATTCCTGGAAGCTGAAAGTATTCCAGTTTTTCCATGGCCTGCATACTCACCCTATGTCACCCATTGAGCAGGTTTGGGATGCTCTGGATCGACGTGTACGACAGCGTGTTCCAGTTCCTGCCAATATCCAGCAACTTCACACAGCCATTAAAGAGGAGTGGGACAACATTCCACAGGCCATAATCAACAGCCTGATCAACTCTATGCGAAGGAGATGTGTGGCGCTGCATGAGGGAAATGGTGGTCACACCAGATACTGACTGGCTTTCTGATCCACGCCCCTACCTTTTTTTAAAGGTATCTGTGACCAACCGATGCATATCTCTATTCCAAGTCATGTGAAATCCATAGATTAGGCCTAATGAATTTATTTAAATTGACTGATTTCCTTATATGAACTGTAACTCAGTAAGATCTTTGAAATTGTTGCATGTTTTGTTTATATTTCTGTTCAGTATAAAAGCACAATCAAATTCCAATGGAAAAACAATGTCTGATTTTTGGTTTAGTTGTCATCTAAATGTGTTATCACTGCACTTTCAACCATTTAAAAGCACAACAAAGTTCAAATGGGAATACAATGTCAGAAGTTTTGTATTTATACAACAATTGAATGTGTTATCATTGTGCTTCATCTAATAGCAGAACCAAATGACCTGGATTACAGTTGAGATTACATTAAAAGTACTTAAAGTGCAAGTGATCAATGCTGTTCAAGATTCTGTCAGATTATTACAGCAATTGTGAAGATTTACACAGACCTGCAACCTAACCTCAAAATGTGGCCATGGATGTGTTACTCATTTTAAGGTTCAATAAATACTGTTACATTAGTTTGTAAAATAGCCCTAACTTTAGGCTATTTACTGTATTACAAAAGTAATATTGAATTGTGTGTTTGGTTGTCAATGAAACCAAATATCAACATTTAAAGGATATCTAATTCTTGGATAGTTTCATCTGAGCCACTGGCTTAATCCTATTCTTTAACTTTTATTTTTGGTTTAGTTGGAGACATGAATCCAACATATTATTTGTTTACTTGTCAACATGTTAATAGGTTATGTACTGTATTGCAAAGGTGATATTGAATTGTGTTTGGTTGTCAACGCAATCAAGTATCAACATTTGAAGGAGATGTATATTTTGTGGCACTGACTTAGTCTGGCTTTTACTCCAATTTGTCTACAAATTAATAATTGATATGTTGGACTCATGTCTCCATCTCAACCAATAATCAACATTAGAGAATAAGACTACATCAAATCAAACTTTATTTAAAGTGATTTTTTAAAGTTGGATTAGATTTAGTCCTGGTCTTTGAGATGGAGACATGAATCCAACATATTAATGATTAATTTGAAGATTACATTTGAAATTAACCAAAGCTTGACCTATATGGTCTACAGTATATGTATTGTCTATTTTTAGTTGAACCCTGGGTTGAATTGAAACAATAGCTGTTGATGACTTTGCAAATGCTATATAGGCCTAAATAGTATCATTGATGCTATATGACTTAAAAAGTATGGTTACGTTTCATTTGCTCTGTTAAACCTAACCTTTGGAATGATTTCAATAGCAACAGTGAATATATTTAGTTATTAACCCTTGGCCTACAATTTCCCCGCCCCCGTGGAAATTTAAACAACATAATAAAAAAATGCCCATCAAAATCCGTCTGTTTAAGCTAGAGATATCTAGCAGATATTTTTTTGCCAGGGCTGCTTCTCAATCTACCGCATCCGCCGATATCGCCCTTCCACATCTGCGGGGAAAGGTGGCAGAGCTAGAGCGGTGTTTGTCAAACCATGAGACATCCCGAAAATCGGTCTTCTCACGAAAACGTCTGTAGTGTCCGAACAGTTTGGCCTACAAAACTATTGAAAGTTGAGGCACTCGCAAACTTAATGGTGTTCTCCGTTTTGTTCTAGGACTCCCACAAGCTTCACAAGACTCGTCTGAAGTTGGTACAGCCTCTTCTGCCAACTTCTGTCTGTAGTGTCCGAAAGGTTTGGGCGACCTATTAATAGGACACCTTTGTGGTAAGCCGAGACTCTCACGAACACGATGGTGTTCCCCGTTTTGCTCTAGGATGCCCACAAGCCTCACAAGACTCGTCTGAAAGTCCCTGGTACCGGTTAAAAAAATGAATGGAAGTACTGTATATATGGAGATAGTTTACTGGCTACCAAGGCCTTGGGGCCAGGTAGATTCCACTAGCTCATTAGACTACCACGGCCTTAGGATCAGGTAGATTCCATAAGCTCATTAGGCTCCCACGGTCTTGGGGTCAGGTAGATTCCATTAGCTCATTAGACTACCACGGTCTTGGGTCAGGTAGATTCCATTAGCTCATTAGACTACCACGGCCTTAGGATCAGGTAGATTCCATAAGCTCATTAGGCTCCCACGGTCTTGGGGTCAGGTAGATTCCATTAGCTCATTAGACTACCACGGTCTTGGGGTCAGGTAGATTCCATTAGCTCACATTAGGCTAACACAGTCTTGAGGTCAGGTATATTCCATAAGCTCATTAGTCTCCCACGGTCTTGGGGTCAGGTAGATTCCATTAGCTCATTAGACTACCACGGTCTTGGGGTCAGGTAGATTCCATTAGCTCACATTAGGCTAACACAGTCTTGAGGTCAGGTATATTCCATAAGCTCATTAGGTTCCCACGGTCTTGGGGTCAGGTAGATTCGAAGAAACGAATTTGACACCTGATCGGTTGCACTCTCTCAGTGCAACAACACATTTTCACACACAGACTCAGACATTTTGCAGGGAAGACAGCTGCTTGTAGTCACAGAGATTCTACAGCGACCTTATCTGGACAGGCCCATGTTTGACAACTGTCTTTGATTTATTTATTGGGGAGTTAAGGAGGACTTTAGAGAGGACCCCAGTGGGACGAACCGTTACACTTGAACTGTCACTATGTAGCCGGTACAGCCTCTTCTACCAACTTCTGTCTGTAGCATCCGAACGATTTGGGCTACCCACTAATATGACACCTCTGTGGAAAGCTGAGACTCTCACGAACACGATGGTGTTCTCCGTTTAGGATGCCCACAAGCATCACAAGACTCATCTGAAGTAATGTATATATGGAGATAGTTTAGTGCCTAAAATAAGGGGATAAAGACATGTAAGAAAAAAAAAATGTTTCCTGAACTTACTTATATATCTCAGATATAGGACAGCCCCTTCTGAACAAACTTCCTTTTGATTTTGTTTTGGGACTATCTGTCATTCCATGTTTTTCTATTGGCTAATAGCAGTAATGCCAAATTAAATGTTTAATCCAATCATTTTTTAATAAAAAAATGTTGATACCTTATGGGGTCTTAAGGCTTAGACTCTAGAGGGTTAAGAGATCGCTTACTAATAGTTCTCATGATAGCACATTGATAGTAGTCAGTGTCAAATATCAAAGCTAAGCAGGGCTTGGTTAAAACCCTGGATGGGAGACCATATGAATTGCTGTAGCTAGATCAACTCTCCAGTAGGAGCTGCTGCCCAGACTATTGTTTATTTTCTGATAGTGGATGTAACGTTGAAGATCTGACATTTCAAAGCTACAAATTCAACATATTTTATACAAGGTTTGTCTATGTTGAAAATTTGTTACAATGATGACATAATCCTGTGGTTGAAATTCCACCCTCAAAACAACAGTTGATGACTTTTGTCAAATTCAATGTATTTTCCACGTAGATTCCGCGTCAAAATAGGTTGACAAATTACGTTGAAACAACGTTGATTCAACCAGTTTGAGCCCAGTGGGCTTTGAATGATTGAACCTCCCTTTCCCTCCCAGACAGGCTGAATATCTGAAATAGATCCAGTTCATTTTTTAAAGCTGAAATTCATATCCAAACTCTATACCCATTGTCCCTCTTCCAGGCAGCACTGCAAATTAAACCATTCAATATTGGAGTGAAAGTGGAGAATCAATGTAAACATGGCTTTTTCATAGCTAAACACACACGTCTGATTGTGGCAGCAGATGAAAGCAGACCAGTGGCTGATTGTGTTGTTCTCCAAGCAGGACTAGAAACAGCTCAGGTAATATATCAGTACATGAGGAAGATCAATGGGAAAGAAATTGGATTGCAGAAAGGTAGGGAGCTAATGTTTAATGATAACTCTGAATCATAAATCTCTGCCCATGTAAATTATTTAGGGAGGAACCTCCACCCACAAACAATACACGTACACGCACGCACATACACACACACTGATACATTCACACACACACACACACATACACACACACAGTCTGCACACAAACAATACGCTAATCAATTATAATTTTCACAAAAATGTCCAAATGACAACGATTAATAGCAGTGGTTTCTGAAATCATTTTGTTCTGTTACCCATCAGAGTTTTCCTAACATCCACCAAGTAAACAAAAGTCTTCGTAAGGCAGAGAATTAGTCCAGGCCTATATCTGCCCAGACTTGAACCCCCATTTCTTTTTGACATCCCTGGTCTGTACCATCCCCAGCTTTTACTTACAGTCGTTAGCAACTAGTAAACTCTCTGCATAATGCGTCCAAAACATAATCAGTATTCATGGTATTTTAGCGGCAGGATGTAATGTATTGACTGTAGATCAAATCGACTGATAAAGCTACATGATTTTGGTTGAATCCCATTAAAAACGTTACTCACAACTCAGAACTTCATATGCACAACATTATGCTGTACATACAGTACTATAAGTCTACATTCAAAATTCAAAAATTCAAATGAAATTCAAGACATGGGTGACTAGTTAACGTTAGCTTGGCTCTCTCTGTGTGTTTCATACCGTGGGAGGAGGGGTTGGTTCGTTGACAGAGAGCAATGGCTAGCTAATATGCTAACTATTCTAGCTAGCTAACTAACTGGCTGAATAAGTTGACGACGTACTCACTCAAACTGTAAAAACTAACCCCAAAACTTTACACAACGTTAGACACAGTCACGAATGATCTGCTTAGCGTGTTAACACACTATTGGTAGTTTGTTGTAACCGAGGATTGGTGCTAAACCGTGTTATTGGAAGCTAGCATGCTAGTTAGCTATGGCGTCATAGGATACGGTGCCCTGGGCGGTTTTCACAGAAGAATATTGTACCAAGTTAGCTAGCTGAATAAACTACAGTGGGGAAAAAAAGTATTTAGTCAGCCACCAATTGTGCAAGTTCTCCCACTTAAAAAGATGAGAGAGGCCTGTAATTTTCATCATAGGTACACGTCAACTATGACAGACAAAATGAGGAAAAAAAATCCAGAAAATCACATTGTAGGATTTTTTATGAATTTATTTGCAAATTATGGTGGAAAATAAGTATTTGGTCAATAACAAAAGTTTCTCAATACTTTGTTATATACCCTTTGTTGGCAATGACACAGGTCAAACGTTTTCTGTAAGTCTTCACAAGGTTTTCACACACTGTTGCTGGTATTTTGGCTCATTCCTCCATGCAGATCTCCTCTAGAGCAGTGATGTTTTGGGGCTGTCGCTGGGCAATACGGACTTTCAACTCCCTCCAAAGATTTTCTATGGGGTTGAGATCTGGAGACTGGCTAGGCCACTCCAGGACCTTGAAATGCTTCTTACGAAGCCACTCCTTCGTTGCCCGGGCGGTGTGTTTGGGATCATTGTCATGCTGAAAGACCCAGCCACGTTTCATCTTCAATGCCCTTGCTGATGGAAGGAGGTTTTCACTCAAACTCTCACGATACATGGCCCCATTCATTCTTTCCTTTACACGGATCAGTCGTCCTGGTCCCTTTGCAGAAAAACAGCCCCAAAGCATGATGTTTCCACCCCCATGCTTCACAGTAGGTATGGCATTCTTTGTCCTCCAAACACGACAAGTTGAGTTTTTACCAAAAAGTTATATTTTGGTTTCATCTGACCATATGACATTCTCCCAATCCTCTTCTGGATCATCCAAATGCACTCTAGCAAACTTCAGACGGGCCTGGACATGTACTGGCTTAAGCAGGGGGACACGTCTGGCACTGCAGGATTTGAGTCCCTGGCGGCGTAGTGTGTTACTGATGGTAGGCTTTGTTACTTTGGTCCCAGCTCTCTGCAGGTCATTCACTAGGTCCCCCCGTGTGGTTCTGGGATTTTTGCTCACCGTTCTTGTGATCATTTTGACCCCACGGGGTGAGATCTTGCGTGGAGCCCCAGATCGAGGGAGATTATCAGTGGTCTTGTATGTCTTCCATTTCCTAATAATTGCTCCCACTGTTGATTTCTTCAAACCAAGCTGCTTACCTATTGCAGATTCAGTCTTCCCAGCCTGGTGCAGGTCTACAATTTTGTTTCTGGTGTCCTTTGACAGCTCTTTGGTCTTGGCAATAGTGGAGTTTGGAGTGTGACTGTTTGAGGTTGTGGACAGGTGTCTTTTATACTGATAACAAGTTCAAACAGGTGCCATTAATACAGGTAACGAGTGGAGGACAGAGGAGCCTCTTAAAGAAGAAGTTACAGGTCTGTGAGAGCCAGAAATCTTGCTTGTTTGTAGGTGACCAAATACTTATTTTCCACCATAATTTGCAAATAAATTCATAAAAAATCCTACAATGTGATTTTCTGGAATTATTTTTCTCATTTTGTCTGTCATAGTTGACGTGTACCTATGATGAAAATTACAGGCCTCTCTCATCTTTTTAAGTGGGAGAACTTGCACAATTGGTGGCTGACTAAATACTTTTTTCCCCACTGTAAGTTAGAGTCTATTCCTAGAAAACATTGAACCGCTGTAGTTTACAACAATTATAATTTCTGCTGCTAAAGCCACTTTCTATCACTCTACATTTCAAGCCTCTGCCTCTAACCCTAGGAAGCTCTTTGCCACCTTCTCCTCAATGCTGAATCCCCCTCCTCCTCCCCCTCCCTCCTCCCTCTCTGTGGATGACTTCGTCAACCATTTTGAAAAGAAGGTTGACGACATCCGATCCTCATTTATTAAGTCATATGACACCGCTGGTCCTGCTCACACTGCCCTACCCTATGCTTTGACTTCTTTCTCCCCTCTCTCTCCAGATGAAATCTTGCGACTTGTGACGGCCGGCCGCCCAACAACCTGCCCGTTTGACCCTATCCCCTCCTCTCTTCTCCAGACCATTTCCGGAGACCTTCTCCCTTACCTCACCTCGCTCATCAACTCATCCTTGACCGCTGGCCATGTCCCTTCCATCTTCAAGAGAGCGAAAGTTGCACCCCTCCTCAAAAAACCTACACTCGATCCCTCCGATGTCAACAACTACAGACCAGTATCCCTTCTTTCTTTTCTCTCCAAAACTCTTGAGCGTGCCGTCTCTAGCCAACTCTCCTGCTATCTCTCTCAGAATTACCTTCTTGATCCAAACCAGTCAGGTTTCAAGACTGGTCATTCAACTGAGACTGCTCTTCTCTGTGTCACGGAGGCTCTCCGCACTGCTAAAGCTAACTCTCTCTCCTCTGCTCTTATCCTTCTAGACCTATCTGCTGCCTTTGATACTGTGAACCATCAGATCCTCCTCTCCACCCTCTCCGAGTTGGGCATCTCCGGCGCTGCTCACTCTTGGATTGCGTCCTACCTGACAGGTCGCTCCTACCAGGTGGCGTGGCGAGAATCTGTCTCCGCACCACGTGCTCTCAGCACTGGTGTCCCCCAGGGCTCAGATCTAGGCCCTCTCCTATTCTCTCTATACACCAAGTCTCTCCTATCATTGCTACGCAGACGACACACAATTAATTTTCTCCTTTCCCTCTTCTGATAACCAGGTGGCGAATCGCATCTCTGCATGTCTGGCAGACATATCAGATGTGGATGTTGGATCACCACCTCAAGCTGAACCTCGGCAAGACGGAGCTGCTCTTCCTCCCGGCGGAAGGACTGCCCGCTCCATGATCTCGCCATCACGGTTGACAACTCCATTGTGTCCTCCTCCCAGAGTGCAAAGAACCTTGGCATGACTCTGGACAACACCCTGTCGTTCTCCGCTAACATCAAAGCGGTGACCCAATCCTGCAGGTTCATGCTCTGCAACTTTCGCAGAGTATGACCCTACCTTACACAGAAAGCTGCACAGGTCCTAATCCAGGCATTTGTCATCTCCCGTCTGGATTACTGCAACTCGCTGTTGGCTGGGCTCCCTGCCTGTGCCATTAACCCCCTACAACTTATCCAGAATGCTACAGCCTGTCTGGTGTTTAACCTTCCCAAGTTCTCTCATGTCACCCCGCTCCTCCGCACACTCCACTGGCTTCCAGTTGAGGCTCGCATCTACTACAAGACCATGGTGCTTGCCTACGGAGCTGTGAGAGGAACGGCACCTCCTTAACTTCAGGCTCTGATCAGACCCTACACCCAAACGAGGGCACTACGTTCATCCACCTCTGGCCTGCTAGCCCCCCTACCTCTACGGAAGCAGAGTTCCCGCTCAGCCCAGTCAAAGCTATTCGCTGCTCTGGCACCCCAATGGTGGAACAAGCTTCCGGTGACCGTCACTTGTGTGATGAGTCACGTTGCCTTAAGCCTAAAGACCCTTACTACGACTTACATTAGCTCATTAGGCTACCACGGTCTTGGGGTCAGGTAGATTCCATTAGCTCATTAGGCTACCACAGTCTTGGGGTCAGGTAGATTCCATTAGCTCATTAGGCTACCACGGTCTTGGGGTCAGGTAGATTCCATTAGCTCATTAGGCTACCACGGTCTTGGGGTCAGGTAGATTCCAATAGCTCATTAGGCTACCACGTCTTGGGGTCAGGTAGATTCCATTAGCTCATTAGGCTACCACGGTCTTGGGGTCAGATAGATTCCAATAGCTCATTAGGCTACCACAGTCTTGGAGTCAGATAGATTCCATTAGCTCATTAGGCTACCACAGTCTTGGGGTCAGGTAGATTCCATTAGCTCATTAGGCTACCACGGTCTTGGGGTCAGGTAGATTCCAATAGCTCATTAGGCTACCACGTCTTGGGGTCAGGTAGATTCCATTAGCTCATTAGGCTACCGCGGTCTTGGGGTCAGATAGATTCCAATAGCTCATTAGGCTACCACAGTCTTGGAGTCAGATAGATTCCATTAGCTCATTAGGCTACCACAGTCTTGGGGTCAGGTAGATTTAATTAGCTAATTAGACTACCACGGTCTTGGGGTCAGATAGATTCCAATAGCTCATTAGGCTACCACAGTCTTGGAGTCAGATAGATTCCATTAGCTCATTAGGCTACCACAGTCTTGGAGTCAGATAGATTCCATTAGCTCATTAGGCTACCACAGTCTTGGAGTCAGATAGATTCCATTAGCTCATTAGGCTACCACAGTCTTGGAGTCAGATAGATTCCATTAGCTCATTAGGCTACCATGGTCTTGGGGTCAGATATATTCCATTAGCTCATTAGGCTACCACGGTCTTGGGGTCAGGTAGATTCCATTAGCTCATTAGGCTACCACGGTCTTGGGGTCAGATATATTCCATTAGCTCATTAGGCTACCACAGTCTTGGGGTCAGATATATTCCATTAGCTCATTAGGCTACCACGGTCTTGGGGTCAGATATATTCCATTAGCTCATTAGGCTACCACGGTCTTGGGGTCAGGTAGATTCCATTAGCTCATTAGGCTACCACGGTCTTGGGGTCAGATATATTCCATTAGCTCATTAGGCTACCACAGTCTTGGGGTCAGATATATTCCATTAGCTCATTAGGCTACCACGGTCTTGGGGTCAGATAGATTCCAATAGCTCATTAGGCTACCACAGTCTTGGAGTCAGATAGATTCCATTAGCTCATTAGGCTACCACAGTCTTGGAGTCAGATAGATTCCATTAGCTCATTAGGCTACCACAGTCTTGGAGTCAGATAGATTCCATTAGCTCATTAGGCTACCACGGTCTTGGGGTCAGATATATTCCATTAGCTCATTAGGCTACCACAGTCTTGGGGTCAGATATATTCCATTAGCTCATTAGGCTACCACGGTCTTGGGGTCAGGTAGATTGTACTCTCTCAGTGAAACAACACATTTTCCCACACAGACTCAGACATTGAGCAGGGAAGACAGCTGTGTTTAGCCACAGAGATTCTACAGCGACCTTATCTGGACAGGCCCATGTTTGACAACTGTCTTTGATTTATTTATTGGGGAGTTAAGATGACTGCCAGAGGACTTTAGAGAGGACCCCAGTGGGATGAACCGTTATACTTGAACTGTCACTATGTGAAATACCCAGCCAACACCATTCACCAGCAGACCCCCAAGGATGAGTTAAAGGCTAGTATTATTCTGACAGACCCTTGTAGCTTACATCAGTGCTATTGGAATGTACCGCTTCAAGGTCTGCAGCAGGGAACAGCACTGCTGGTTACTTTTCTCTTCCTGGTTGTTAACTGATGGTTCATGTCACTGAGTTTTCTCTCAGTCATCTAGTGTCTCAGGTCTGAATCATCAGTCCCTGAGTAGAGGGGAAGGATGAAAACCTGCAGTGGTGCGGACATGAAGGTACACATATGAATATTATCCCTGATGCTGCTGGGCACCCTCATCCATGTAATGCAACACTAGATGAGATCTGGTTTAATGAACAAACAAGCATTTCTCTCTCTCTCTCTCTCTCTCTCTCTCTCTCTCTCTCTCTCTCTCTCTCTCTCTCTCTCTCTCTCTCTCTCTCTCTCTCTCTCTCTCTCTCTCTCTCTCTCTCTCTCTCTCTCTCTCTCTCCAGAAATAGCAACAGCCACACCATCCAAGATATGCATGTGATGTAATAGAAAGATTAAAGGCACTCTCCACCAACTCTCGTTGCCTAGGACATCCAGAGCTGTAAATGTGTTTATGAATGAATAGCACGTCAGAATGAAACCTCGACTATATGGATAAGCAGTGACTTAGTGGGCCATGCCGCTTAGGCTAATTCGTTTACAAGGCATTATCTGACTAATACTTATTCAGATTTTGCAGAAACAATGACAGCATAGCTGCCTGTCTCGGAACTGGGCGTGATGAGGTGACGCGGCGCGACAGGGTAATTTCACATTTAGCATACAGACTGCATGACCTGACGCGAACACCCCCCTAGGATTCCCTCACAACCGCGGGAGGCTCGTTCAACGCGGCAGCAGTGCAGCAGGGGCTATCCTTTTCTTGCTACACTGACCGCCCACGCTTGAACTGGCATGGCACGCAACACACAGCTGCTACAATGTCTGTGGAAAACGGTGCTATAGATAGCTGCAGTCTTAATCAGAAACACGTGTCTACATTTTTATATTTTGATCATAACATTTTTAAATGTTAATGATAAGATACAGCCTACACTAGCTCTGATAATAATTGATAGCTTATCTGAACTGTGACTTTTGTTATAATTGTACTGCATTTCAAGCACACTTAGCAAAATGATCTTGTCCCACCATAGAAAGCTGCTTGACACCCTTGAAAAAACACGTTGCTCTCTGTCATCAGAAAAACGTATTTCACGTGAAGAAGGTGAGATATTTGGCTATAAGCTACGTCTTCCTATGTATCTCATTATCCCTATTTGGGCTACTCCAACATAACAGGCTACCATGGTCATAGGGTTATTGGTCATTCAGCACTATGAGTGACAGCTGAGGTAATAAAAACAGATGAATGAATCACTGAATAAGGATAGATGCTGGTATCCTACAATATAGAACATTCACGTCAAATACATATGACAGGTACCACTGTAATGGTATAATAATAATAATAATAATAATAATAATAATAATAATAATAATAATAATAATAATAATAATAATAATAATGTTGATGTCCTCTTACCTCCGACACAGAGCAGGGACATCTCTGATAGCAGCGCTGAGTGTCCCCGGCTGTCCTCTACCGGCCGCCTGGGTCTTCACTGCTTTGCTTGGCTACTCCTCAGTTACCTCCCGGTGTAGGCTACAGATGTATGTCTAAACATAAGCTAAATATCGCCGTAGTGGACACAAAATCGATTCGAAGACATAATTACAAGGGAATCCGTGCGTTCTTCGCGGATATGGCTATTTATTTTGCTGTTGAAAGGCTCCCCTCACTTTGCTGTCTCTCTCGCTGTCTCTGCATCCCTCAGCTTTCCTCCGCTCCTCTCGCGCGCACAGCCATCTTGTTTCAGCACCAGCGCGAGGACAGCTCCGCGCCGCGTGACGTCACGGTTATTGTGAGGCGAATCAGCTGCAGCGGCGGGCATAGGCGGGGGGCCACGATACATCTCTGATGATCATGGACCGAGTAGGGAGTCTCTCCTTCCGGTACTCAAAGAAGGGAGCAGGGGGGAGGAGGGGGGTGCTTGTCAGTACTGGACTGAATCACTGACGAAAATAACATGATTATTATTCTAGTGCTGCCCACTGTAGTCCAGGGCGATTCAAATTCGTACCTCAAGGTCTACAGCACTGCTGGTTTTTAACCTTCCCTTCGAATCAGGGACTGACTCTAGCCAATGAGTCATGGCCAGACTTAGCACATCTGGCGCCCTGGGCAAGAACATTTCATTGTCATCAATATCTAACTTTTAGTTTTGATTCCTCATTGACTACTTATCTTTATTGACTACATAAGGATATTAATTAAAAGTCATTTGGTCTATGTCTATGTTACCGATTAGAATAGAAAAATTAAAGGACAAAACAAAGCCAAAAATGTGATTTTATGGTTTATGAAATTACTATAGCTCTCCTTCTTACCTTCTCATCTGGTCTCATCTTATAATCCAGTAAGTGTCCCTAATACCTGTCTTTACATCATAGTTGCAAACATAGGCACTAGGCAGGTAAAGTGTAAGCTAGAACACACAATGGCACAGACAGTGCCAGAAGGGGGAGCTATTTACAGTGTCTTCAGAAAGTATTCATACCCCTTGACTCATTCCACATTTTATTTTGTTACAGCCTGAATTCAAAATGGATCAAGTAGATTTTTTTCTCACCCATCTAAACACAATACCCCATAATGACAAAGTGAAAACATATTTTTTGAAATGTTGGCAAATTTATGGAAAAAATGAAATACATAAATATCTCATTTACATAAGTATTCTCACCCCTGAGTCAATGCATGTTAAAATCCCATTTAGCAGTGATTACAGCTGTGAGTCTTTCTTGGTAAGTCTCTAAGAGCTTTGCACACCTGGATTGTACAATATTTGCACATAATTCTTTTTAAATTCTTCCAGCTCTGTCAAGTTGTTGATAATTGCTAGACAGACATGTTCAAGTCTTGCCATAGATTAGTAGATTTAGGTCAAAACTGTAACTAGGCTACTAGGTAACATTCAATGTCAACTTGGTAAGCAACTCCAGGGTATATCTGGCCTTGTGTTTTAGGTCATTGTCCTGCTGAAAGGTGAATTCATCTTCCAGTGTCTGTTGGAAAGCAGACTGAAATAGGTTTTCCTCTAGGATTTTGCCTGTGCTTAGCTCTATTCCATATATTTTTACCCTAAAAAACTCCATAGTCCTTGCCGATGGCAAGCATACCCATAACATGATGCAGCCACCACCATGCTTGACTGGTACTCAGTGATGTGTTGGGTTGGATTTGCCCCAAACATAACGCTTTGTATTCAGGACATAAATACAATTTCTTTGCCACATTTTTTGCAGTTTTACTTTAGTGCCTTACTGCAAACAGGATGCATGTTTTGGAATATTTGTATTCTGTACAGGCTTCCTTCTTTTCACTCTGTCATTTAGGTTACTATTGTGGAGTAACTACAATGTTGTTGTTCCATCCTCAGTTTTCTACCAAAGTCAAATCAAATCAAATCACATTTTATTTGTTACATACACGTGTTTAGCAGATGTTATAGCGGGTGTAGCGAAATGCTTGTGCTTCTAGCTCCAACAGTGCAGTAATATCTAACAATTTCACAACATATACCCAATACACACAAAAAAGTAAGGAATGGGATTTAAGAATATATACATATATGGACAAGCAATGACAGAGCGGCATGGACTAAGATACAGAAGAATATTATAGAATAGAATGCAGTATATACATATGAGATGAGTAGTGCAAGATATGTAAACATTATTAAAGTGACTAGTTTTCCATTTCTTAAAGTGGCCAGTGATTTCAATAGGCAGCAGCAGCCTCTAATGTGCTAGTGATGGCTATTTAACAGTCTGATGGCCTTGAGATAGAAGCTGTTTTTCATTCTCTCGGTCCCAGCTTTGATGCACCTGTACTGACCTCGTCTTCTGGATGATAGCGGGGTAAACAGGCAGTGGCTCGGGTGGTTGATGTCCTTGATGATCTTTTTGGCCTTCCTGTGTCATCGGGTGCTGTATGTGTCTTGGAGGGCAGGTAGTTTGCCCCCGGTAATGTGTTTGGCAGACTGCACGACCCTCTGGAGAGCCCTGCGGTTGTGGGCGGTGCAGTTGCCGTACCAGGCGTTGATACAGCCCGACAGGATGCTCTCAATTGTGCATCTGTAAAAGTTTGTGAGGGTTTTAGGTGATAAGCCAAATTTCTTCAGCCTCCTGAGGTTGAAGAGGCTCTGTTGCGCCTTCTTCACCACACTGTCTGCGTGGGTGGACTATTTCAGTTTGTCGGTGATGTGTACGCCAAGGAACTTGAAGCTTTCCACCCTTGTGGGGCCCCAGTGTTGAGGATCAGCGAAGTGGAGATGTTGTTTCCTACCTTCACCACCTGGTCCAGGGCCTCGAGCTTAATGATGAGCTTGGAGGGTACTATGGTGTTGAATGCTGAGCTATAGTCAATGAACAGCATTCTTACATAGGTATTCCTCTTGTCCAGATGGGATAGGGCAGTGTGCAGTGTGATGGCAATTGCATCATCTGTGGATCTATTGGGGCGGTAAGCAAATTGAAGTGGGTCTAGGGTGACAGGTAAGGTAGAGGTGATATGATCCTTGATTAGTCTCTCAAAGCACTTCATGATGACAGAGGTGAGTGCTACAGGGCGATAGCCATTTAGTTCAGTTACCTTTGTTTTCTTGGGTACAGGAACAATGGTGGCCCTCTTGAAGCATGTGGGAACAGCAGACTGGGAAAGGGAGAGGTTGAATATGTGCATGAACACACCAGCCAGCTGGTCTGCGCATGCTCTGAGGACGCGGCTAGGGATTGTCTGTAGACCCTGCCACATACGTCTCGTGTCTGACCCATTGAATTGCGACTCCACTTTGTCTCTATAATGATGTTTTGCCTGTTTAATTGCCTTGCGGAGTGAGTAGCTACACTGTTTGTATTCTGCCATCTTCCCAGTCACCTTGCCATGGTTGAATGCGGTGGTTCGCGCTTTCAGATTTGCGCGAATGCTGCCGTCTATCCACGGTTTCTGGTTGGGGTAGGTTTTAATAGTCACAGTGGGCACAACATCACCTATACCCTTCCTGATAAACTCAGTCACTGTTTCAGTGTATATGTCTAAATTATTTTCGGAAGCTACCCGGAACATATCCCAGACAGCGTGATCAAAACAGTCTTGAAGTGTGGATTCCGATTGGTCAGACCAGCGTTGAATAGTCCTTAGCACGGGTACTTCCTGTTAGAGTTTCT